GCACAACGTTACAGAAATATAAAAGAAGCAATCGGAATTCACATTTCCACGCTTCAGCGAATCGATCACAATATCAAGAGATTCAGCCTCCACTGATGAAGAACTACTCTTGCCACTTGCAGGTATGTAATTTCTCCAAGTCAGCGACCACGAAGAAGACACCAAATATTACCTGCTGCCTAAAGAAAGGGAAACATTTTTGCAGCTACCAACTTCTCATGATTTTGATTCTGTTTGTGTTTCAAAGCTCTGCATCACAGGCATGATGGTTAGAAAAAATAGAGTAAATAAATTTGATCAGCTGTAGAGAAGTAATCCAAAAATAGAGTATATAAATTTGACAGAATACTATTCAGCTCCTTTTAGGACTCCATTTAATATTTCTAGTTCACCAAATACTGCCACGGATGAGGAATCTGGAGAAGAAGAACGACAACTGGAATAAGTAAAATTGATAGACCCTCTTAATTATTATAAGGTGAAAACGGACCCAACTTCTAGATTCGCTAGAAAGTGACAATGGAATTTATCCACCAACTGGGTTCACCAAATTGAAAATTCAAAGAAAGGGATCAAATTCTCTACCATCAAATCTCTAATCGATTCAGGCAGATATTATGCACATACTATATTCAGATTATATCCAGTAAGAAGCTTTACCTCTCTTTAGAAATCTCCGAAAGTTGGATGATTGAATATACTTACAGGTGAAACAATTGCTCGAGTGTCATAGTCTTAGGACTCCAAATAGTTAAAGCGAGCAGTCTAACATATCAGAAGCAGATATTCTGACCTCGATAGCAACAATATCTACTCGACCCTCTCAAATATATTAATATCAGAAAGAAAACATTATCAAATCCAACAACACCAACCACGGCAAAACATGCAGGACACATGCTGCAACAGAGCAAATGAACTTTGTTCATTTTCACGTTCTGGGGCATCAAATGCTACTGAATTAGAAGTTCGAATAATTCCTGGACTCCAACACGCATACACAATTTACTAAGGCTGTGACTTTGCAACATGGTTTCACTGCTACTGTTTTTCTTTCTTTTTGTTTGTTAATCCTTTGGTAAACTGCTAGTAGAGAATTTAAACTACAGAAAAATAGAGGTTCAGAAATCCTAGCAACAAATGCATGCCCGACTATAGTAGTTGGCACGTAAGGGATAGTTCTGCAATTCAAATCCGACTATATGAGGGACATGCAAATATTCAATCTTCAGATAATCCAAGTTCTAACATGATCCCTGAATCACACATATAAAATTATCATACATGCAAATATAACTTGAAAAACAATCTTCAATGAAGCCAAACCATCAATGAGAAATTACAGCAGCAAAAGGTAGTTCTTTGGGCTCAATAAAGAATGTCAGTACACCCTTAAAGCACATGAAGATCCCAATTAAAGTCAAGTTTTTCAAGTAATTGAACCTCTAGTAATTTTTGCTATTTGCAACACGCAAGGAGCACTTCCACCACACAATTCCACAAATTATATTTATCCTTTCGTCGATCAATGATAATGGCACTTGACAGAACAAAGTAATATTACTTCAGAACCACAAAGGGAGAACATAAATGATACCTAATCCGATTGCAAGAACCAGGGGAAACAAAGATACATCAAAATTAACCCCTCCTCATGGAATTGGCGGTTGGCTGGAGAAGGGTTCGCCGCATAATTACCCAGTTCTCCCAAATTTACAGCATAATCACATACAAAGATAATAAACCAAAGACCAATTATGAGCTTGGAGCTAATAAGAAAGAAGGAAATGTCGCTGGCTTGAGAGTGATGGGGGCCTCCTCAAGAGTAGCTGGAGCGATTTGGAGCGAACTTCTAGAGGCTGAAGTAGAGAAGAAAGAAGAAGCAGGGTTCGTGGCGGCAGGGAGACGGTGGCGGCGGCGGCAGTAGTTGTGCTTCTCGCCGGAGGGGAAAGTCTCGATCTTCGACAACCTCTTCGCCACGGGTTCGGGTTTTACCTCCATCGAATCACAATCACTTTGTGAATTAGCCTGCTGCCAGAAAGATGCCCTGGAAGAGGCTTGCAATCAGAGAAATAGGGTTTCGTCGTCTTCCAGAAAGAGGATATGCGACTCCCACACCCCAATTTCTCCATTAGAATGTCAGGTTTAGCTCCTTGCGGTTTGTCCCGATTAGGGCAAGGTCAGCACAGCACAGCTCCTATGCGCTTGCCTAATCTCTTCTTCCAGTCCTTCCGCAGATCGAATCTGTAAAAGGGTAAGCAACCTCCTTCATTCTCCTCCCTTTCACCTTTCCCCCTCTCTCTCTGTAATGTGCTTGCAATTGCGCTTCCCTTTCCGTGAATTTCTTCTCTCTCTCCTAATAACCAGTAGAAAAGGTGGACTTATTTTAGCCAAAAGAAAACTAAATGAAAATTAAATGATAACGTGGGAAACCAGGAGAAAAGGTGGGGAGTGAACGGTTTCTTAGTTCTGCAATCAGTCGGGGAGTTCTATTTTTTCCCCGCTTAACACTCTGCCACATCAGCTTCCTAAAATCACTCTATGGACAGGAAAATTTGAATGGGGGTTGCAGTTTTACTTTTCAGCTATAAATTATACTGTTGATTTTTAATCAATATATATATATCAAAGTGAAAACTGGAAAGTAATTTGTTTATTCACGGAGGATTTGACAAACACATGTTTAATAGATTGAATATCAATTTCTTTTCACACTTAAGAGTGATTTGGGCATTCCTGATAATTGAGGCAAATCAATGATCATCGATCGTCTTCCAATAACTTGCCCCAATTACCTCTTCTCGTAAACAACAACAACAACTAAAAACAGAGGAGCTCCAGCATTACAGACAGAAAATACCCATAGGTTTCATCCCAATGACGGTGAGCTTTCTAAGGTTTGATAGTATGTTGTTGTTTCATTTCGCTAAGGAGAAAACATATTCCTAAAGAATATTTTATGGGTTTCAGGCCAGGGTTTCTCCTTCGACAACGGCAACAACAACAACACCATATATACAACATCAAACCTTACCGCAAGCACCCGAGTTCTTACCGCCGAGAGCGGCTCATCCAACCCCATCAAAAAGTTAAACAGTCGGGAACTTTCTTGTTTTTCGCGGATGCAAAGCAAAACTCCGCATGTGCAGTGACCACAACTCCACAAGTACAGATCGGTCTGGGGGAGATGGTGCTGGATTCCTCCCAGAGGGATCTCAGTTTGGTGTAGAATGCCGAAACATAGTGTTTCTCTAGCTGAAGGAGACTGATCATCCGTCGCAGCTCGTAAGCCCGAGAAGCGTTGCCCTGTCCAAAAGGACTTCGCAAATCCTCCCAAATTTCTCTTGATGTCTCAGCAAATCGAACACTGCTACAGATCTCTTTGTTCACTGCAGGTTTGAGCCACCCTTTGGTCATGGCGTCACAACGAATCCAAGCGTGCAGCTCGACACCACCATTGGGTTTAACCAACGTTCCATCAATAAACGCAAATTTGTTCTTGACGATAAGGGCGTCCTTCATGTCAAGCACCCATTCGCCATAATTGGAGGCAGTGAGAACGTCGCCGACCAGCATCTGGTCATGCGAATCAGAGTTGGGAAGACGGTATACCGACGGCAAACTCTCATCGTCGTGCTCCATCTTCATAACTGCGGCTTTCACGCCTTTGGCACTGGTTTCTTCTTCGCCCATTGTCGCTATCGAGGTATGGACCTACTGCTCTAGTACCATGATAAATTTAGCAGAATCAGAAGATAAAATGCACAAGACACAACGATTTTACGTGGTATCCCCGACGAATCGGGACTAATCCACAGGAGAGCTTGAAGCTCTCCAGCTATTGCTTCTTATTGATTATTTGATGATGATCGACCGTAGCCTGGTGGGACCAGTTGTCAAGTCCAATATATAAGTGTGTGTGAATTTTTACTATATGTTGGATCTAAGTACGACATGTTACTTTGGTGTAATGTTATATGTTATTACTCATATGTTAGATGAGATTTGATACAATTTATCATAATAAGTACAATACAATGACTCTTTTCATATTTCCGGACTAAAACGGTCTAAATGAGTGGCCCGTCAACTCTTAACCTATTAGCTCGATGGGATCTGGGTGGGTTGACAACCTTGCGTTAGGATTTTTCACGCTGCAACTTACTCGCTCATGAACCCATACTTTACCCATTCAGATTTCAGACAGGACATGTCGCTGGGCGGAAGATAAGATAAAGACAGGTGACAGCTATTGAGGTGCTGAATTTAGAAAAGCAGGGGACTTTGCACACCACCTACCTATTGCACTCCTAACTAACTATATTCTCAATGGCAAAAATGTGAAAGAAATTTGAACATCGTATTGACCAAAAACTTACGGTAAGAACTAAGAATAATGAACAAACTATTATGACCCAAAGCAATTGCATGCTTTTTGGCCCTCTTCTAAGTCTAAACAACATCGGAGTCAATTTTGTGGATTAACCGGATCCACTAGAGACGGAGTGAGAAGTGTTTAAATTACTAGTAACTTCCTCATTTAAAAAAATTTATTATAAACATTAATAACTTGTCTAATGACTATTCGAAAAATTATCTAAGTGTCACAAGCCAACCACCTCAAGTCTTCGCGAACAAGGCCACGATAGAGTGGTTGTACTGCTAATTTTCAATCTAAACCCCTCAAATTCGATTTTCAGTAACAACACGCAGGGGGGGGGGGGGGAATCACATCTAATAAGTCTTTAATAAATTGGATGAGTCCATTAGCTAGAAACCGAAATCTTATCATTCATCAAATTCAAGTTCAAAGTTCAAATTCGATTTTCATAATCTCAAATTGCACTCTATCCTGTATTCCTGTTTATATAAATGAGGAAATTATTGGTTGTCGGTTGGCCCCCACTGCTTCTGTTCTTCTATCCTCATTCATCAAGCTTGGTCCCCGTTTATACGTCGTTTTCTCAAACTGCTGGGCTTTTTTATAGCTAGAACTTCAGGGCTTTTTGTTATACTATATTTGTATACACATTATAAATAACGACAATCTGCTTCTCTCACTCTCCGGACAAACATTACAATTCATCCAGTAACGGAGCTTCCACCAGCGGCCACAAACATGGCCGGCGGCGAAGGCGACACAAAGCCTCTTCACATCGCCATGTTCCCATGGCTGGCCTTCGGCCACATGCTCCCTTTCCTCCGACTCGCCAAAATCATGGCCAGAAAGGGAAACAAGATCTCGTTCATCTCCACTCCGCGCAACATCGATCGCCTTCCCCAACTCCCTCCATCCTTCACCTCTCTCATCACCTTCGTCAAGATTCCCCTGCCTCCCGTCGACGGCCTTCCTCCCACCGCCGAGGCAACTTCCGACCTGGAGGGGCATGAGATCCTATACCTAAAGCGAGCGTACGACCTTCTCCGGCAACCACTCTCGGGATTTCTTAGTATCTCCCGACCGGATTGGATCCTCTTCGACCATGCACCCTTCTGGCTGCCCGCCGTCGCTCGCGACCTCGGAATCCCGACCGTGTTCTTCAGCATATTCATCGCCAGCGCGTTGGTGTTCACCAGCCCGCCGGCGGATGAGGAACAAGACTATAGGAGAAGCGCGGAGGAGATCATGGTGAAGCCCAAGTGGGTCCCGTTTGAGTCCGACATAGCGTGGAGGTATGTATCTACCACCATACTTTCTTCTTTTGGTAAAAATCACCATACTTTCACTTTAGTGAATCATGGGAAATAATTTAATAAGGAACAATAATTTGGCGACTTGATGGGTGCACAGGATATGGGATAAGGTCAGATAGTCTCGACTCTCGAGCTCGTATTTAATATATGAGATTTTTTTTTTTTATAAAAGTAAAATCTCACACAAGCTCATTATTATCTACAAAAATAAAAGTTTTATATATTGGTAAGAAATTGATTTGAACCCGCTATACGGTCCGGTCCGGTTATATTGGAGCAAATTGATCCGGTCCCAGTCCGATTTTTTCGGAAATATAAGGACTAAAGATTGGATTGGATACAGTCCGGTCTTGATCCGGTCCGGTCTTGACCCGGCCCGGTCCCAATTTGATCTTGATTTTAGGTGTTGGGGGTCTCTTATTCGGTGTTTATCCGGTTTTTTACCTCAAATCTAAACTCGAATATGAGATTGGATTGTTTGCTATCCGGTCCCGGTCCGGGTTATATGATCCGGTTTCGGGTAAAACCAAACAGTCCGGTCCAAATAGCCAGCACTAATTTGAACCATCCATTACCACCATTCATCACATTGTACTACCACCTTCACCTTGGTAAGAAATTGTTGTGAACATTTGGGACCATGTGCCGTTTCATATCACACCTTGCCATAATGTTATGTACTATGAAACTTTATCATCATTGTTACTTATATAGTGGTAAAATGTGTCTCGACTAAGTTATATTTATGGATACAAAATTAATTAAAACGTTATGTTAATCCTTGTTCCGAAATCTTCAGGTATTTTGAGGCAGAGAAGATATTCCCGATGGTTCTTGGGGACGATCTGCATCCTAATGAGTTTTATCGTTTCCATCAGACGTTGAAAGGATGCGATTTGATCGCAGTGAGGAGCTGCCGAGAGCTTGAATCCCGTTGGCTAGACTTACTGCAGGAAATGCACCGAAAGCCGGTATTCCCGGTGGGAGAGCTTCCGGCTCCAATCGAGGAGATAGAGGGAGACGAATGGCGGGGTTCGGAGGCGATTAAAGAATGGCTGGACGGCCAAAAACGGGGTTCAGTTGTCTACGTGGCATTCGGGAGTGAGGCAACATGGAGTCAGGAAGAGCTAACAGAGATAGCCAATGGGTTAGAGTTGTCCGGTCTGCCGTTCTTTTGGGTGCTTCGTACCAAACAGAGTTCTGATGATTCGAAATTGCCTGAAGGGTTTGAGGAACGAACAAAGGGGCGAGGAGTGGTTTGGAAGGAGTGGGCGCCGCAAGTGAAGATTTTGGGCCATGGCTCTGTTGGCGGGTTCTTGACTCACTCAGGGTGGAGCTCGGTGGTGGAAGGGCTTCAATTTGGTCGGCCGTTAGTGCTGCTGATTTGCTACAATGATCAAGGGCTGAATGCTAAGCTCCTTCAGCAAAAGGGTGCGGGTTATTTGGTTCCGAGAGATGAACGAGACGGGCGATTTACGAGGGACTCGGTTGCTGACTCGTTGAAGATGGTGGTGACAGGAGAAGAAGGAGCAACCTATAGAATCAAGGCCATGGAGATGAAAGAGTTGTTTGGTGATACAGAGAAGCATGACAGTTATGTTTATGCCTTGTTGGAGTATCTTGAGGGTAACATTTCCAGAAATTTGTGAAGATAAACTTGACATCCCTTGAAATAATTTTGACTTTTTGAAGCGCGTTTGTTCCTTTAGATTCAAATCGATTCAATATATTTGCCGATTTGTTTCGATTTATATCATGAGTTTTTATTTTTTTGAAACCCAAGGTCTTTTCATTAGATGATTCCCTTATCGAGACGTGTGGTGTCGGATGAGAGAGTTTGGAATGAGAATCCGCCAGGGATCACAGTTAAATCGGGGTATTATTTGGTTTTCTGCATATACAGACAACGATGGGGTGCAATGTGTAAAGTTGGGATTTGTGATTTTCAAATCTTTCTTAGAAACATGATTAATTTGATTTATCACGAAAAAAAATATACGACTTAAAACCCAAAAAAAAAGCTCATTAAAAATTATAGAGAAAAAACTAAAAAAATATTTATAAATAGTGATGTAAAAGGTTATATATAATTACGTGTGCACTACATATGCTCCCAATCCTAGCCGCAGCAAAGCATAAAAAATATGGTTTTACTAATTAAATCTCTTATAATTCCTTGTTGCAGTTTGATTTGCTACCCTGTTTGAAGTTGTGTGCTTCAGTATCTTTAGTATCCTTCTAGATATGTAAGGTGGTACGTAAGTTCTGAGTTGTCTTGATGAACCGACGCTCTCGGTCCAGGAGTTGCTTGTAGCTCACAAGTGGGTGAACGATATTGATGTCGATAAACCTTTAGTTTAATATTTGTTAACTGGGACTAATGCCGAACTTATATATATATAGAGGATAGAAAACCTAATACGCAAACGTAATGCTATTCCTACTTGGCTACCCCTTTCCTTGCCACCGACGAAACCCAAACCCACAAGAAACCTGACGTGACCCACTAACCCCAAAAGCCTGACCCAAAGTCCACTTATCAATCCTTCCCCCTCGAAATCAACCTTGGGACAAGGTTGAATCTCAAAGTCTTCTTCTTCGAACAAGCACATAACCTTCGCGGTACTACACTTGTGCCCTATGCGGAACAGGTTGTCGCAGTTGAAGCACAACCCTTGAGCCCGACGAAGCTGTTGCTCCTCACAACTCAAGCGCTTCCCGTCGAGAGGCCCGCGAGATGGGCATGTTTCACCTAGAGGTGCCGAGTTCGCTGCTCTTGGTCCATACGTGCCACCGCCTCCATCACCACGATAGCCCGTCGCACCCACTCCTGCCTGGACCACCGACCTACCAGCTGACTTTGACGCTACAACCAATGTAGTCATAATCACGCTTTTAAACTTAAAAGCTTAAGATTTTACGTTTTTAGATCACTAAAACGTTTCTACACAAAATCTTAGTTTTTACAACTTATGTAGTTAGAAACTCCGCTTTAAAACTTCAAAACATACGATTTTACGCTTCTAGATCACCAAAACTTTTCTACGTAAAAACTCGCTTTTTGCTGCAGCTAACCACTCTTCATTCTTGCTAGACTAATCGCGTCCCATAGAGTGTGAGGCCGAAACATTCGATTCTCATCCACGATCCCTGCCTTCAAATTAACCGCCAAGATAGGTACCCACCAGCGCCTGTTGTGTCCAGCCGACACAACGATTAGCTATCTTCTCAAACTCGCGTTGGTAGTCACGTAGAGAGCCTATTTGGCATATACGAGACAACGCCTCGTCGCAGCTCTCGCCCTCGTTCAGCTCGAAATGCGCCCATAGCTCCTGGGAAAATAATTCTCATGTAATTGGCTCCCCTGCCTCTTTGTACGTCCCTTTCAGCCACTGCCACCACTAATTAGTTTTTCTATCATGATGGAATGAAGCCAGCCCGACTCACTGATCCGCTGGGACCTCCTGATACTCGAAAAATTGTTCAACGCACGGAAACCACGCACTAGGATTGTCCCCCACAATCTTCGGGAATTCCAGCCTAGCGAGCTTGGCGAGAAAGGTAGCGCCGCCACCACTACTCCCCTTCGAGCCGGTGCCATTGCCGCTTCACGACTTGCTCGAATCTCCTTCTGGCCCGGTCCGCCTCCCACTGTTGTCACCCTTCGAGGCAGTCGTGTTGCGCTCTCTGAAGAGCCATGCGTCGGTTTTCTCCTCTCCACTGCTACTGCCCTTAGTCTTTTCCTCTCCCCTCGCGGTCGAGATGACCGCCTTCCCTCACGCTGCAGCGTGAGCTGCTCTATCTGCGGCATCATCATCATTATAGTCTCATCCGTCTTCGCCATCTGTTCGGTCATCTCGCGCACGGTGACTAGGATTTCCTGGACCGCCTCCTCTAGTCGATCCCCTTGCTCCACCAAGCCATCGGTGGTGGCCTCCAAAGCCGCACAACGTTCAGCCATAGATCCCCCATTGTTGCGAAAGCAAGCAGGCTCGGATACCACTGATGAATCGACACTCTCGATTTGGGAGTTGCTTGTATCTCACAAACGGGAGAACGACGTTGGTGTCGATAACCTTTAGTTTTATTATTCATTAACCGGAACTAATATCGAACTTACATATATATATAGTATAGAAATCTTAATACACAAACCTAATACTACCCAAACTCCTATTCCTACTCGGCTACCCTTTTCCTTGCCACCGACGAAACCTAAAATTACAAGTAACCCGACATGACCCACTAGCCCAAAAGCCCGACCCAAAATCTACTCATCATGTCTTTATTGTAATATCGCTATAAGGGTGTTTCTAGAGAAAAGAGAGAGTGTTTGAAGTTTAGAGAGTGATATTTTAGGGCTCGTTTGCTTGTTGGATTTGAAAATGAAGGTTTTGAGTTTTAAAAATCTTTGGATTTATGATGGATTTGTTGCATCATGGATTTGGAAGAGTACATTGTTTGTTTAGTTGATTTTTTATCATGGATTTGTGATGGATTTGTCTCACATTTTTTTCTTCTATTGTCAAATCCCAAATGAAATGTGGGATTTACAAATCCGTGGGGTCCACGGATTTGGATCTAAAAAAGGGGTCCAAATCCGTGGACCCCACGGATTTGTGTCCTTCAACAAACAAAGGATTTGTGTCAACTCCATGATGCTTGGGATTTGGGTTCCAAATCCATCACCCAAATCCCACAAACAAAGGATTAGAAAATAATACCCGCCTACAGATGAATTATAAAAAAAAAAAAAAAAAACAATACCCGCCTGCTGTTGAGGATTAGAGTTTTATATTGAATTGAAGCTTGAAATGATTTTTTATTTGCAATTGATGTAGATAACAATCACTTTTTTTTTTTTTTTTGACAAAAGATAATCTTATATTGATCCAAAAAAGATAGTTACACCCTGGACCCAAGCCAGGTACAGAAATCAAAAGAACGACTTATAGCCGGGTACAAAGAGAGGGCTTTCCTAGCCACCAAATGGGCAACCCTATTACTACTCCGACCAATAAATCGTACACTAAACCCCGGGATGCTATCAAAAAAATGAAAGACTTCCTCCAACACAGCACCCATCCGGTTATCCCTAACATCCTTGCAATTGATTTTATCAATGATGACCTTGGCATCTCCTTCAAAGCGCATCCCCGTGAATCCCTGCCCCACACACCACGTAATGGCCTCCCGGAGTACAAGCAACTCTACGACCATCGGGTCATCAACCCCCATAAACTGGAACCCGTGAGCCATAAGAACAACCCCCGAAGGCGCCAGAAGAACCATGCCACCTGCAGAGTGTGATCCCTTCCTGACTGCCCCATCCCATTGACAAATAAACCCTGGAGCCGGACCCGGTACACTTGACTGGGGAACCCCCGGAGGAGAAGGCGCGATGGGCACATCCTTTGGCAGCCCTACCCATTCCTCATACTGTTGGGAAAACTGCCTCATCAGCGCGGGGAACCCAAACTGTTTCCCTTCAAACACTACCCAGTTTCTCGAACGCCAGATGCGCCAAAGGATAGAGACTACTGCCATGAGGAGCGTCGGCTGCTTGATTAAGGCCATTACACGTTTAAGAAACAGAGGAAAAGTATGGCGAGGCAAACCTTCCCCTATGTATTCTAACCCGGAAAGCCCCCAGAGCTCTCGCGCAACCGGGCAATCCAAAAACAGATGCTCCATTGTTTCCGGGCCACCCCAACATACCGGACAACGAGCAAGGATCGGTACTTTACGTTCAATAAGGGCCTCCGCGGTGGGGAGAGTTCACGTGAGAATTTGCCAAATAAAGACTTTCAACTTAGGGGGAATATCAGCCTCCCATAACCCGACCCAACTAGCTCTATCCATCCAACTAGCTCCCGCCTTCCAACGCCCCCTCCTCCTATCCAGGGAGACCGCCAAATGATAGGCTGACTTAACCGAGAACACCCCATCAGGAGTAAAATGCCATATCAGTTTATCCGGAAGATCCTGCCTGGGGAGGGGAATAGTTTTTATAATGCGACACGTAGGCGGATCAAACCACAGCCTAAGCTTGGACTCGCACCACCTCCCTTCCCCCTGGCAAATTACCTCAGCCACCGTGGGATCACCTCCCACCGGAAGAACCACCGGGTTGTACCTCGGGGGATCAAGCTGCAGCTGAGGAATCCAGGGGGATCGAAGCAGGGACGCCGAGCGCCCATTCCCAATTTGCCATCTAAGTCCCATTTCCAACAAATCACGACCATACAAAATACTTTGCCAGCCCCAGGAAGGGCGCGATCTGGCTTTCGCATTGAGAAAATGCCCTGTGGGGAAATACTTACCCTTATAGACTTGAGCTAGAAGAGATTGAGGCTCTGCCAAAATACGCCAGCCGATCTTGGCTAAAAGTGCCTGATTGAACTGCTCAAACCGGCGGAAACCCATTCCCCCCTCATGCTTACTTTTACACATATCCCGCCAAGCCACCCATCGCATCCTCGACTGTCCCTCCTCATCACCCCACCAAAAACGCGCAACATGCTTATCCAAAAGGCGACACAGTGATAGAGGCATCTTGAAACAAGACATGACATGCAATGGTAAGGCCAAGGCAATTGACTTGATTAGCGTCTCCTTTGCTGCCCAGGAGAGTGTCCTCCGTTTCCAACCCTGCAGCCTTTCCAACAGCTTAGCCTCCAAATAACGAAAGGTATCCATTTTAGACCGAGCAATCAAAGTGGGGAGTCCCAGATATTTATCATGCACCCCAACAGCTCCCACTCCCAAAATTGCGGCTAAGAACTCTTGGTCAGGAAGAGCAATGTTCTTACTAAAACAAACAGCCGATTTCCCCAAATTGACACGCTGCCCACTGAGTTCCTCATATTCATTTAGAACCGTGATTAAATTCTCACATTCTTGCAGAGTGCCTCGCAAGAACAGATACGAATCATCAGCAAAAAACAAATGCGAGATACGTGGGGCACGCGGGGCCACCTTAACCCCAGCCAGCCTCTTATCCTCAATCGCCTTACGCAAGAGTGCCGCAAACCCCTCAGTGCAAAGCACAAACAGAAGAGGTGAAAGCGGATCCCCTTGCCGCAAAACCCGCGAAGGTCTGAAGAACCCAGAAGGAGTACCATTCATCATGACCGAAAACGATGACGACCGGAGACACTCATGTATCCACCCCTGCCAGACTGAGTTAAAGCCCATCTTGTCCAAAATGGTAAGGAGAAACGGCCATTCGACTCTATCATAGGCCTTTTCCATGTCAACCTTAGGAGCCATGTACCCCTTCTTACCTTGCTTTTTGATTTTCAAGTAGTGCATTAACTCATGTCCAAGGAGGATATTTTCCACAATTTGGCGATCCTTAATGAAAGCATTTTGTCCAGAAGAAACAATGTTAGGTAAGAGGCCCGCTAAACGTTCAGCCAAGATCTTAGCTATGATCTTATACACAAACTGGCATAGACTGATAGGGCGCAACTGTCTCATGGATTCCACACTATCCACTTTGGGGATCAAAGTGAGCCAGGTGTGATTGAAGCTACGGAGCATCCTTCCCGTCGAAAAGAACGAGCAGACTGCTTCAACCACCGAATCTCCTACAATACCCCAAAAGGCTTTAAAAAACTTGCCAGTAAACCCATCAGAACCAGGGGCTTGCTTAGCTCCCATCGCAAAGACAGTTTTCCGAACTTCCTCCGGGAGGACAACAGCCGTCAGACCAGCATTCATTTCTGGCGTCACACTTCGGGCGATAGGCAAAGCACCCACTCTCTCCCCCATGTTAAGGACTTGGTTTTCTGATGTGAACAGGTGGCTATAAAAATTGGTGGCGATATCCGCTTTCCCTTTCTCATCAGTAATCCACTCACCGTTCTCATCTCTTAGTCCTGAAACAAAATTTCGCTTACGACGCGTTCGAGTCACCGTGTGAAAATAAGACGTGTTTTTATCTCCCTTCTTTAACCAGTGAACTCTAGACTTCTGCTGCCAGTAAACTTCTTCCGCATCCTTCCAAATTTGCATATAATGTAATTATGGATTGTAAATGATCATATAATCTTTTTATTATTTTATTATTTAAGTGTTTATTTGTATAATTGTATTATACAACCTAATACAATGGCAAGTAAATTTCATTGGTTGGCATGGCGGTGGCTTCCAGCTCATATATAATTAATAAATTAATCAAGCTTTGTGCTCTTTATACGTCGTTTCTTCCAAATATCCACGAACAGTAATTGGAACTTGGAAGATCTTTCCGACTGGATCGATGTTGGTCCATCGCTCTACCTACTACCGAAAGGAATATGGGAAGCGAGAACCATGCTTCTGGCCGGCCAATGAGTGTGCTTGGTTGGAGGCTGTTCGATAATTAGGAAAATATTGCATGCGTAAGTTACGTATAAAATAAGTACGAGTACTTTACTTTATTTTTGTATAATAGTACCTGTAATAAAATATTTTAAAAATAAATTAATATATAAATAACAATTATTTTTACAATCTAATTCATTAAATAAAGATATTTAATGTGTTATACGGATTTCATACTTGTTTAACACGGAAGCCATAAAATGAATGGAGAAAAATAAAAAGGCTTGACAATAATAGGTATGGAAGTTTTAAGTGGATAAAATACGTACGACCATATATATCTGTAGTAAAGGGAGTATTTACTAACTATGTTGATAACATCATAGGTTTGTTAGTTGATCCAATCATATATTATTATAATAACTCGTGGTGATGTTTCATTGATAATTATTATTAAGATGTGTTTTTTTTTTGCCATAGATAGGGAAGTTATAGATATTACAGGACGCTTGACAACCAAACGCAACAGTCGACAAGTAGTCGAACTGTCGATGAAAGGCCATTAGAAGCCACTAAATGGGCAGCCCTGTTGTACAATCTCAGAGTAAAATTACAATCAAAGAAACTAAACAACGCGGACGCCGAGCAAATCTCCTCCAAGATCGCACTGCTTGTTCCATGAGTCACATCCCTCGTATGTATCCTGCGGATCAAAGGCTGGCAATCGCCACAGAAATTGACCGATACAAACCCATGCAAGACACACCAGTTTAACGCATCGCGGAGAGCTAATAATTCCGAAATAAAAGGTTCAGACACACCTGGGTAGTACTGCGCGAATGCGAATAGCAGTTGTCCGTTGTGGGAGAAGCCGGCGAAACCTGTTCTGCCCCCCGCATCCTTCTTCCAAGCTCCATCAAAGCGAACAAGGACACCACCAGGTGGGCAAATCCAGGCTGATGGCGGACTACGCGCTCCCTGGCCAGAGCCCATCCGTGTACGAGGCGCCCCGCCGCCATCCCTATGGAGCGTCAACGGCGATGATGCGTGCTGCCACTCCTCAACCTGAGCTCGGAACTGGCGAAATAAGGGCTGCCCCAAGTATTGGATGTGCTTATGGATTGCCCAACAGCGGGATTTCCACACTCGCCAACAAAGGAAAACAACATCAGCAATCTCAATCTTGGACAAATGGCATAAAAAAATAAAGCCTTCCAACAATCAGAAGGGGACAAACCCTCTAGTCTCCTTCGAAGGCTACCCAACCCAGCAAGCTCCCACAGCTCCGTGGCCACCCGACAGTGGAGGAAAGAATGAGAAAGAGTTTCAGCACCTTCAGAACATACCGGCAAGTATTATCCGTTACCAGCCGCTTGATTTGAAGCACCGCCCGAACAGGAAGAAAGCCTCGGACCACTCGCCACCAAAAAAAATTAAGTTTAGGTGGGAGAGGTAAGCTCCACAATAACTTCCAGAACCTGCAATCATATGGCAACGAAGAGGGAGGATGTAAATCCAACAATTCATCAGTAAGAACATGGTACCCAGTTTTTACAGTGTATTCTCCAGTTGGAGAGTGATGCCAAATGAGCTTATCTGGAGAGGCCTGGAGAGGTAGAGGGATGGATAAAATTAAAGACACTGATGATGGCATGAAGAGGCTGGTAAGAAGTTCCACATTTCAGGATCGGGAAAAGGGGCAAATGATGCTATACCCTAACCTCTAATGGGTGAACTCCATTCCCTAATTCCCTAACTCAAGTCATGAGATTCATTTGACCTAAAAAATAATAACCAAAGGTTCTGATTCAGCGAAATATATTGAAGTACAAAAATCAAGTGTGAACAAAGACGTACAGCGTACGCCTGATGTACGCTAGCCTTTGTCATATATATTAACGAAGATAATAATTTCTTGCAATATACAAAGTTGAAAAGTTATTAATATATAATTTTACCAAAAATTATTCGCTTAATAACAATACTATACCCATTATCATTTTACTATACTTGAAAAAAATTGTAGCAAATTATTATGGATAAGGTCCACGATACATTGAACGACATGCTTTGTCACCGGTATTCCCAGTGGGAGAGCTTCCGACGCCAATCGAGGAGATAGAGGGAGATGACTGGCAGAGTTCGAGATCGATTAAAGAATGGTTGGATGAGCAAAAACGGGGTTCAGTTGTCATTCGGGAGCGAGGCAACATGGAGTCAGGAAGAGCTAACAGAGATAGCCAATGGGTTAGAGCTATCCGGTCTGCCATTCTTTTGGGTACTCCGTACCCGGCAGAGTCCCAACGATTCGAAATTTCCTGAAGGGTTCGAGAATAGAACAAAGGGGCGAGGAGTGGTCTGGAAGGAGTGGGCACCACAAGTGAAGATTTTGTGCCACGACTCTGTGGGCGGGTTCCTGACTCACTCCGGCTGGAGCTCGGTTGTGGAAGGGCTTCAATTTGGACGGCCGCTGGTGTTGTTGATTTGTTACAATGACCAAGGTCTTAATGCTAAGCTGCTTCAGCAAAAGGGTGCGGGTTATTTGGTTCCTAGAGATGAAAGAGATGGGAGATTTACGAGGGACTCGGTTGCTGACTCGTTGAGGACGGTGGTGTTGGGAGAAGAAGGAGAGATCTATCGAATCAAGGCCATGGAAATGAGAGAGTTGTTTGGTGATACGGAGAAGCATGAAAGTTACATTCATGATTTGTTGGCATATCTCGAGGCAAACAAAGGATGTTGATATTCAGGTAACACTTGTTATTTGCTAATCGTCTCCAAAAATGTGTGAAGATAAACTTGTATCCATTGAAACAACTTATACTGCTTTTAAAGGATATCTTATTATTTAGATTTAGATTTAGATTTACATCGACTTAAAAGATTTGTCGATCTTATATGAATGGAATGAGAAATAAAATTAAGTAGTTAGAATTGTGTTCCGTTCAAATTTTGTTTGAGAGTGGACAAAAAGGAATTAATGGACATGCAATTGGGTCTATCTGATACAGAAATTAAATACAGGAGCATTATCAGGATATGGGATGGAGCCAGCCAAGCGCAATATCATACCTTTTGGGGCAAAGCACTAGTGGACTAGACTCTAGAGAGATCCATCACTCTCAATTTTTTTTTTTTTTTGACAAGAGGACACTGTATTTCCATTGCTTTGTGAAGTCACGTGTTACAAAAGGGGGGAAACAACATCAAGTATATGTACCCATTCAGAGGGTAAAGAGTTCTTGCACATGACCTAGACACCCAATTTGCTTTACAATTGCTCTTACGACCAATGTGCTTGATCCGAATCAGAGGGTTGGACTCCATCATCTGTTTGATAGAGCCGATCCACGCGTCAGCTCTCCAGGGCCATGATCCCGGGCCTTCATGAATAGCCTGAACAAGGGGGAGACAATCAAAGCGGACGAGGCAAGGAGAGGTGAGACCGGCCGCCAGACGAGCGCCCTCAAAAAGAGCCTTTGCTTCAGCTTCAAGCGGGGAAAAACAATGCATGATCTCAGCTTTACCGTCACACACTTGACCGTGGCTGTTCGACACAACGACGCCATAGGCCGCCTCCTGTGACTCACTAAAAACGAGCCGTCACAATGTATCTCAAAATCATGAGTACATGGCGGTGGTGAAGAGGGATTCGGCATGTGTTTAAGCTGAGGAGATGGAGGAGTTGTAGTCTGTTTCCTGTGATAGGAAATCCATTGATGATGTGCCAAAAATGCCTTCGCACTCGTGGAAGGGGGCCAAGGGTTGGTGCTCTTGAAAACCCGCTCATTCCTTGCCTTCCAAATCTGCCATAGGAGGAAGATGATCTTTTGGATAGACAAAATCGAGTACCTGGGTTTCAGAGCACTGAGCCACTCCATGAATGGGGTATGGGGGGTGGGGCAGGGAAGAGATGGCCACTCCTTTTGCCAGCCTTCAGCTGCGCGAGGGCAAGTGAAGAGGCAGTGATGAATTGACTCGGCTGGGCCAGCACAAACCGGTCACGTCATGGAAGGGGAGCACTTTCGTAGAAAAAGGTTTTCTCTTGATGCGATAGCTCCCTTTGCGATTCTCCACACGAAAAATTTCAATTTCGGAGGGATAGATAAGCTCCATAGCCACTTCTAATTCCCTTTCTCCGCCTCCGAAGCCCCCTGTAACCTTGCATCATTCTGAACCGGTTGTGAAAATGGAAAAAGGCTGACTTGACGGTGAACTTGCCTTGCTCCGTGAACCTCCATGCCCAGAAGTCTTCCAGTGACTCAGGTTCGATAGGAGTGGCTTCCACCTGCTTCAAATCGTGCGGGCTGAGAAAATTGGCCAGCACATCGAATTTCCATTCTCTAGAGATGCAATCAATCCAGCTATCAGCTGTTGCTTGGTCTGGCCACTCGAAATCAAGGAGAGAGCCCGCTCGGTCTCTTCTCCAAGGATCCTGGAAAATCCTAGTTGTCCTGCCATTGCCAATAACCCGGATGATTCCTTGTCCCATCCAGTTCTTTGCTTCACATAAACTAGACCAAATCCATGAAGCCCTCCCTCCCTTTTTTGCATTCAGGAAGTCTGTTTTTTGGGAAATAGATACTCTTAAGGACCCTGACCCATAAGGCATCCTTATTGGTCAGCATTCTCCAGGCCTGCTTTGCTAACAGAGCCATGTTGAAGATATGAAAAGGCCTGAATCCTAGACCCCCTTCTTCTTTTGGAGCATACAGGACCTGTCCAGCCCTCTAATGTATAGTTTTCCTTGTCATCGAACCTCCCCAAAAGAAAATTTTCAACATAGAATCCATCTTCTTTGAGGTTGTTCTTGGGAGAAGGAAAAGACACATGATATAAGAAGGGACTGCTTGGAACACAGCTTTGAGAAGAATTTCCTTCCCACCTGGCGAAAGGAGCAGGCTCTTCCACGCCTCCCCTTTGTTTTCCATTCTTTGAAGGAAGTTGAAGGTCTCCTTCTTTGATCTCCCCCATTGTGTGGGAACTCTGAGATACGTGGAGTATCCATTACTAGTATTGAATCCAGCACTCTGGATGATTGTAGTCTGTTCGTCAGTGGTGACATTGGAACTGAAAAACATAGAGGATTTCCTTGTCGAATGCCACGAGTAGGCTTGAACTCAGGAGAGGGCTCTCCGTTGAAAAGAAGCCTGAAGCTGAAAGTAGAGATACACAATTGAATCCATCCACACCAAACATCATTAAAACCATTAGCCTGAAGAAGATTTAGGAGGAGGTCCCATTCGACAAGATCATAGGCCTTCTTCATATCCAGTTTCAGCATCATCTCCTTTTTGCTTCCCGTTTTGTGCTTCTTGAAATGGTTAAGAACTTCATGAACAATAATGATATTATCTTGAATCTGCCTTCCCCCCGTGAAAGCTGCTTGTAATTCATTGACCAAGCCAGGCAGCCAAGGTTGCAATCTATTGGTCATAATCTTGGTAATTACCTTGTACCTGAAATTACAGCAGCTGATGGGTCGAAATTGACCAATATTTTCAGGAGCGTCCACTTTGGGGATGATAGTAATAAACGTGTCCTTTCATTTATCAGGCATAGTTCCTGTCTGGAAGAACCTGGATATTTCCTGGCAGAAATTATCACTCAAAATATTCCAATACTTTCTGAAAAACAGCCCTAGGAAGCAGTCAGGCCCACGGGCCTTGTTTGCTCCCAACTGAAAGACTGCTCTACGAATCTCCTCCCTATCAATTGGTGCACACAGTTTAGCATTAGCCTCTCAGTGACAAGACAGGGGAAGCCCTCCAGGATGCTGGGATCAAGAACACCATTCTTGCTCTTAAAAAGCTTGCAGTAGAAGTCATTGGCATGAATTCCCAGGTCGGTTGCATTAGTGATCTAAGAACCATCCGCATCCTTGAGCTTCAGAATGCGATTCCGGTTCCTCCTTGTGACTGTACTCGCATGGAAGAAACCAGAATTTTGATCACCCTCCTGTAGCCAAGAAATCCTTGACCTCTGTGCCCAGAAAATTTCTTCCTAGGCCCATAGGGTTTCCAGCTCAAGCTGGAGCTTCTTCTCTTCATTGATCAGAACCGTGGAACGATTCGACCCCTGTAACACCTGTAGTCTCTGTCTTATCTCCTTTTCTCTCTTTTGCTTCATCCTTCTATCATTCCTAGCCCAGTTTCTCAGTTCCTCTTGGCAATCACTGAGAATTTCCTGAACCAGTCCCCCTCTATCACATTGGTTATGAATAATTTGGCAGCACTCTTCACTCTAACGCCATCTCTTGTCAAACCTAAATGGAACACAGGGGGCATGTCCACTTGGGTGGAGATCGATCCTAATCGGACAGTGATCCGATTCAACAAAGTCCTCATGAAACACTGTGGCTGATTCAAAATCTGTTCTCCTGGCAACCGAACACAGAGCTCGATCAAGTCTTTCCCTAATCAGGTTTTCTCCTTGCTGTTTATTGCTCCAAGTGAAAACCTGACCCGAGAAACCGAGATCCAATAGAGCATTCCTTAGAATGAAATACTTGAAGGGATTGACGTTTTCAATTCTTAAGGGACAACGTCCCTGCTTTTCAAAAGGGGAAATAGCTACATTCAGGTCACCAACAACAAGCCAACTTTCTTCCTGATTTGCTCTAAGATTCGTAAGTCGATCCCACAGAGCATTCCTCTCTACCGCCGTGGTAGGGGCATGGATGAAAGTGCAAAAAAACTTGACCCCATTCCTACTGATGCTAGTGTCCATAAAGGACTTACACGAATCCAAAACAACAACATCAACATCCTCCTTCCACCAAAGGGCCAAACCACTTCCTTCTCTTCCCGGACCAACATAATCTGAATAAGCAAACTTCATTTGTCTTTTCTTCTCCTCCTCCATAAAAGAGTCATCTTTCCTTGTTTCCATCATAAAAACAACGGACGGGCCGAATTGTCGACATAGTCTGCCGCAGTAGCTCCTTGTAAGAGGCTGGCCGAACCCCCTACGATTCCAGCTCAGGAGTCTCATTCTTGGAGAGGCGGCCTGAGGCTTGCCGCCGCTGCCCTCGGAGTGGTTGACTCCCCTTCTCCGGACTGACATCCTTCCGCCGTGATTTCCGCCAGACTCTTCTTCCTGATGCTATGTTTCCTCCTTTGATAGATTCTTCTATTCTCACCTGGCGCAAAATACAAAGAATCGAAAGATAGGTTAGTAGGTAGTGTCTGTTGGTCGATTGGGGTGGACTGGCTGGTTCGTTCCTCGGGCCTGGTCACCACTTCCTCAGCAACTGCCGTAATAGAAATCGGCACTGGGCTCTGATTTTGGGCCTGGTTAGTCAGCACTTGACTAAGTTGATCCATAGCTGACGGGCTGGGTGACGCGTCAGTTGGTGTGAATGATGGACTCGCCAGGGTGAGTGACTGGCCCATTTCGAAAAGGCCCGCCATCTTGTCCTGATCTCTTCCCCTTCCCCCTAGGTCGAGACTCCTCTGCATCACTCTGTTCGTCGCCTCCATTTCCATCTCCAGAAAAGCTGTTTGCAGGGTAGGTGGCGGGTTGACTCCCTCTCCTCTATACACCCAGTCAGATCCTTTCCCAGGGCTTTGTAGGATTGCATAGCCCGATGGGTATGGAAAGGTCCCTGCAGTGGTAGGCCTGCGAGGGTGACCTAAGAAGATTCTCCTCGGGTGCCGCGGATCTGCTGTCTTCCTGTGCTCTGACTTGTCAGTCGCCTTGAGTTAGCTACCTTCTCTCTGAAAGATGTCGGCGGTGTGTTTG